GGGGGGGAGAGCTCTCTCAGTGCATTACCCTGTAGTGGAATATTTTCTAATTAATACTCGGCTTTGTTTACAGACGCTTTGATTTAATTAAGTGATGAAGAGGCGAGTTGGATTAGCTGTTAATTGATTTAATTATCCAATTTGTTTGTCTCAGGCATGATTCCAGCAGAGCTCCAGCAGCTGTGGAAGGAGGTTACGAACGCTCACGTGAAGGAGGAGCACAACAACAGCCACAACAACAACGGCCACCGGGGTCTCGACCTGTCCTCCCCGGCGCCGCCAAAGAACACCCACCTCAACCATCACGCCTCCTCCAACGGGCAGTACATGAGTCACAAGAGAGAAGCGTGAGTCTCAAAGTATTTTATAAGTTTCTTGTTTTCTGTCTCATCCGTGGTTTTACAATGAGTTGGAAGCCTGAAAGTATGTTTGCGTTTTGTTCCATGACAGAAATGCGGTTAGGGTTAGGCAAACACCCCAATACTGAATATCACAACTTGTACTTTTGGATTCAAAAGTCATTCAAATCTTGTTATTTTGTCAAAACAAAACGTCCACAAATCTTAAACATGTGTTTGCACCAAAGCTTAATTCCTGCAGAATCCCTTGGAAAAATCCCAATGGCTTTTTGTCGAGGGAACCCGTTCAACACTAACTAACGGGTTGGCCTACAAGAATGTGACATTATTAATGAAGCTTGTGAACCAGTCCTTGATGTGCAATATACTCCCATTTAAAAATAGCTATATGTCTCTAGGCCTTGGCCGATGAACCCTGTTGGGTTTTCTCTTAATTCATGGTGTGTAAGTATCTTTTTCATTACGGCAAACACAGCCTGGATACAGCAGGGGATATCTACTCTACACAGCTTTCATTGCCACCAACTGCACTGTAGCCGTTTTGCATATCACACTCAAATCTTTGAATCCTTTGAATTATTTTTTGAATGCAAACGCAGCTGTACATTTGTACTTGTAAAGCATTAATATCACAAGTCTCTTCTCAGACAGGAAAACCTGTTCCTTTGTGAACTTGTTGACGTGCAGTATCAACACGATCATCACCTGTCACACCAGGAATGACAAAGACATTACCACGAACAACAAAGAATGCTAGAGAAACAAACACTGGGTGTATCATATCTTTTCAAAGCCAGGATGAATCATGAGCAGAAATGTTTGCGCTCTGGGCTGTGGGTCTGCGTCTTTAAGGAAGGAATTAATTTGGCATCTTACACATTTGCTTGTTTTCTTGCACCAACGCCTGATCTTTGAACCGCTAGTGAGGAGCCTCCAGGCGCCGTGAGCTCACTGCATAACATCTGACTTGTGTTTCAGTGATCAAAAAACCTACGCGTCATTATGAAAGCAATGCCGATGAAAACATGTTTAGTGCAGTAAAGCGGCATGCCTTTGGAGGTGAAGAGGGGCTGTTGGTGAAAGGGGGGGGGGTTGTAGAGAGGATCTGAGTGACTTGGAGAGGAAATGCTATGATTCACTGATGGAGAGATACAAAGCGGAAAGCAGCTATTTCATTTCAAGCGGTGATATCAGTTTAACACCTATTCATAATACCTGTAATGACATATCCTCTTTAATGTTTCAAAGTTATCTTTAAGCACAGACACTGGAGAAAAAAAAATAAAATAAAATGGGCTCCCACAGTTTGACAGTATCCACAGGCTCCCGGCTCTTCATCCACACGGTGGCTGAATGTCTGGGTTTTTTGGTGTAGTTGAAGACGAATCGCAGGGGAGGATATTGATTCGCTCACTCCATCAAACACAGTCACAAACAAGGTGAGCATCGACGGCAGGGGGAAAGTCGAGAGGCTGAGGGCTCCACGAAACATCGGAGAAGACATAACGCAAGAACCGGCAGCCCCCTCTGCCTGGCGCTGACTGTCAGAGATTAAAGAAGATGTCAACAGCAGTTTAACACGAGCTTAAGAGAAGAAAGTAGTCTGAATATTCTCGCAGTATCTTAGATCTGTCAGAAAACCAAGCAGGTGATTCTCATCCAGCGCATCTGCTCGAGGAATTTACGGATTACCTACCCAGCCTCCCAATGTGCAATTCGCTAAAGGAAAGCAGACGAAGTGAACACAAAACATTGCTTATTAAATGATGCTAATTTAGATCCACACACGACCAATAATCCTCTCTCACACAACTATCAGGAGCATTGTTCCCCCTGCCCGCCTTTTGATGGTGCAAACTCAATTCTAATCAGACTCCTTGGGAAGACAAAAAAAAATGAAATATTATTAAGTGTGGTTATTCTAAGCAAGGCTCTGAGAAAACGTCTGTGTTATAATCCAGGGATTTGAATAATCAGGTTGAAGATAATGGGCTGGGCCGGCCCGGGCGTAAATAGAGAGCATCCACTCATCCTCCCAGCGCTGAACTTAATGAACTTTTAATTGATGCGGTTTTCCAAGTCCTTTTGTCATGCAACAGAAACAAGCCCTCTCTGCTGATGGGCCTGTTTTCCCGACTGGCTTCAGATTGGTTTACAGCAGGCCCTAAGTACCATGTAGTTAGTTTCATGTGTCATATAAAATCTGCCCAGGCACAACGACGCCTGCAACTAAAACCTTAAGTGCATCCACAGGAATCACTCACCGGCTTTGCACTTCCGTCTTAAGGAAGGAGGAGAAATTCAATCACTGCCGGGCTTGACACACCGAAGACGAGGCGAGCGGTCCTGCTTTGACTTGTCTCAAAAAACACTCTGGCAAAGGCAGGCTGGGATTTCTTTCTGTTTGTCTGAACAACAACCATCATGATATGACCAGGGTCTGAGTCACTCAATCTGTCGGCCCGCGTGGCTTCTGAATGCACAGAACAAGATATACCCCTGTGAGCCAGGTCATCTTTATTCAATGATTTGCTGATTTAAATGAAAATGTGGCTGATCTGTATCTGACACAAATTCCCAATACAGTGCTGCTTCAGCTTTGTGAAGGTGGCGGGTGGGGGGTGCGTCGCCACAAAGCGCTTGGCCCACTTTGCTTCCCAACAACCATCAGTAACCACAGCTCGGGGACTGGAACACAGCAATCTGTTAAGGAGATAAATAATCAGATTTGGCACAGCACTCCCATCTCTCTTGCCTTTCATTTGTCTTACACCAGAAAAACTGATAATTAAATCATTTAGGGTGAACCATGCCGTGTTACAGAGAAGACAGGAAGGGAAGGATCGGGCCTAGAGTGTTAACAAAGGAGGATTGAGGGGCTCGAGACATTTTCTAATATGAACTCCGGACAATATTTGGAGAATCAGGTCCGCGCATTGTCTGGAGTTTCCCTCTTTGACATGTAGCCCAAAACAAGAGATTGTCTGTTTCAGAAGAGTTCTCACTTACCAGAAATGTTTTCGACAGTCTGTAGTTGGGTCATTAACAACAGACGGTCCGTACTTTTATTAAATGTGTCTGACGTTTTGGCGTTAGCTCTTTTCCGACAGACATTCCAGAGTCTGGTTTTCTTTCAAGCTCGACATCTTCGTTGGCGTCTTGGTGAAAAACACCCATCTTTTTCGATGCTTGTTTTATTCCGCTTTCAATCCAGCTAATTTATCATGATTGGATCTAGTCATACATGCGCTAAAACGGTCATCAAAGCACCTTTGTATGGGACCTGATGGTAAAATCTATTGTCTGATCCTAATGAATAGGACATTTGACCTCTCGAATGCATCTCCTTCTAATGTGTAGATAATTTAAGGGTTGTGTAAAAGGGGCTAAGTAGCAGAGTGAGAGTGTTGTGACTGGCTTCACATGGCCGGACTCTGACCTAGCATGGTGGACATCAATCTTCCTTTTTCTTGCTGATAGATTGAGTCCATCAGCACAGGACGACGCCATAGATCACGACTTGTTTATGGCCCAAAGCATCTCATCATCAGAAGAGGTGAACTAGAAATCCAGCTGTCGGAGTCGTTGGTGTCGACACATAAACACAGAGCATCACCTTTCTGTCCGGGTCTATGGACACTTTAATGTTCCCTCGCCTCTAAAGGAAGCTGATGACACGGTTTTTTACTCGTCGCTGTTACAAGATCATTAGGGTGTTCTCCCCCCCCCCTGGGCTGCCTGACAAAAATAACATCCTGACCGACCTGTCGTGGCAGTCAAATGTAACGCGGTGGGTTTCTTTTCTCCCTTACTGTACATGTTCTCAAATGGGAGAAAACCCCATGTACCCTACACTCTTCTCCAATTACACTAATGTAGCTCATTTGGTGTAAATTCTGTCATTTACTACTGTTTAGCCATCCACCATTTAAAAGGGCTCTTCTGCCGCAAGCCCCTCGCAGCGCTTTGTGCTCACTGATTCCCAGCGCACTCCACATTTCAATTTCTTATTAATACAGAATTAACCAACAAGCCTGCTCACAAAGAATTAAAAAAATATATCCCTTTAAATAAAAAATCATCGTTACCTTCAGCAGTCCACAAATGTCCTTGTTAAAAACTCATTATAATAGGCCGGCCCGCCATCTATTTATTAGCTGTATCAAAACAGAGGTCTTAATGTGAATGCATAATTCATAATTGAATTTCAAAAAAAAATCAGACTTTTGAAAGAGGCACAGAAAAAACTGCTAACCACATTCATGAATGCTTGACTGCTTCCTAATTGCAATGCAATTATCACATGTTATGAACAATGCCAACTCCTAAGCAAGTAATTATAACACAAGGAAACTAGTGACGACCTTTAAGATTTCCTACTTGAAGTACATCTCTGCTAACATTGATACAAATGAGATTTTAATCTGAACATCAGCGTGTTGAATCCTGCACGCCACGGTTAGATTACTTTCTGTTCACTTTCAAATCAACTGCTAAAACCATAGCAGATGTGTGATTGGCTGAGCCACGCAAGAAGTATTTATTTCCCCCTCTCTGTCCCTTCATACATCCCCGGAATTAGTAGGAATGTTCTCTTATTGAATATATGTGTATGAATGAGATTTTTAGCATTATTCCCACATGACTAAACAATAATGAATCTCCCGATCTGGCCGTTGTACAGAGCAGTGCTCAGACTGGCGGTTATACAGCGGTGTTGTCGCACCAGAAGCACAGGTGGCAGCGATATAGGCCAGTCCCCCAGGCTCTTGTACTCGAAAGTTGTGTGTCTTGTACGATACTGTGTCCATATGGCTGCCTGTCTCGCTCTATCAGCAGACACAGGTCGGTTCTCTCAGCGCTCATCGTGGCTATCCACGGTTCCCAGCCTCTCGCCATATGGAAGATGTTGTAAAGTTTGATTTTCAGGGAACGTCCCCCTTCGCTATTTAGACTGATTGCACCAAGCCATAAGCTCCCTGTAGATGCGCTGCTTGTCAGCCCCTGGTGACATGGAGTGGTCAGTAGATAAATTGATACCAGGCGGGGATGTTTACACTCATGTGAAAAAAACGCCTGATGCTTTTTTTTTTATCTAGTGGGGGTTTCATGTTGTGGTACACACACTCCTCCAGGTGGGCTCCGGGACATGATGCAGCAGGAAAAGCAGCGGCTGAGGAAGCCCCCTAGCAGCCTTGATCAAAGTGAATTGAAACATGGCTCAGTGATACTAAATAATTACATATTGATTTGGTTTCTCTTTCGCAACGTGACTCCCTTCTTTTAAGAGAAGAGCAAGCAGAGATCACACAGGTACTCTGATCCGACACAAGCCAGGTTCACAGATCAAGTCGAAGCCAAAGGTTTTCATGTGGAAACTACATCAGCGCTCACAGGGAGGTGCTAACCAGGCAGCAGCTTAGCAGCAGAAACCTGAGTCTGTGACCCGTTATGTAACTTGTTGTCAGAGGTGGAGAGATCTCTTTCTTATAATAAAGAAAAATCACATTTTACTCTATATCGAGACGTGAAGTTTGTCACAGTAGAGGCACAACATACTAATATGAACCTGAACATGAGCAGAAGATGTCCTCTTTTGACTGATCTGTTTAATTCCACTTTTATTTGAAAACGTTACAAATTATTTTAGAATCTAAATCTGTCTCTTTCTGTGACTTGCAGATCCACGCATGAAGACCATTCCCACCACAGCCACCCTCTCTACGGTCATGGAGTTTGCAAATGGCCTGGATGTGAGGCGGTGTTCGACGATTTCTATTCATTCCTAAAGTAAGTCAAAGTCTCCGTCAGATGTTTCTACCGCAGTTTGTTTGTCCACGATTGCATGTTTAGTGACCCCCGGGGACTCCAGGCACTACAGGTGCAGCCGGTTGTTTTTCCTCAGTGCGGTGCCTGTGTTTGGCCCTCTCTCTGCACTGTGCCGGGGTCTCCTTCTGAGAACCGCATGGGCCTCTAATTCCTGTGATAAGTGCAGTTCCCATGGTGACAGGGGCCGTTTTTCCCAAACAAACAACGGTAGGATGTTTATCTGCAGCAGCCCACACTTAGGGCGCTCTGCATGTTTGCCCTTGTCACTGGACGGACAGGGGATTGGTGTGTGTGTGTGTGTGTGTGTGTGTGTGTGTGTGTGTGTGTGTGTGTGTGTGTGTGTGTGTGTGTGTGTGTGTGTGTGTGTGTGTGTGTGTGTGTGTGTGTGTGTGTGTGTGTGTGTGTGTGTGTGTGTGTGTGTGTGTGTGTGTGTGTGTGTGTGTGTGTGTGTGCGCCTGGCTCAGCTCTTTCTGTCTTTCTCTCACTGCTTTGTTTGTCTTACTCTCTCCTTTCTCTTTCTAAAGCTTTACTTCTCAGACTTTTGGTTTACAGTGTTGCTTATTTTATCAAAGGCTCACCACGCTGTGTTCAAGTTAAACATGTACAATAGGAGTCCGAACATTTTGCTATATCATGAATCATTTCAACAATAATCTGTTGATCTGCAGGACAAGGCAGTGTGGGAAAGTATTGCAGTAAAGCGGAGTAAAGTGTTGAAAAGATTAGGAAGTGTTCACATTTGAAAAAACTATAAAAACTGAGACTAATACTACATTTAGGCAAACCAGATACAAAAGGTAACATGTATTTACATAGATGTTGGTTGAACAGATATTAGTACTTCTAAGTAACTTACATACTAACATGTTCAATTAATTAAATAAAATGGTAAACAAATACAAATGGTGCTCGTTACAAAAATGCAGTTCTTAGGTCAAAGCTGTCTTTTGATTTTTTTTTAAAACCTACCAATTTCCAAAGTAAATTATGCAACAACAAAAAAAGTAAAATCAATATTTTGTGTTTCTTTTCCAACAAAACACACAATAATGCAACTTTGACATGTTCTTTGAGACTACCCTCTATGAGAAGCACTATCAAGGTTATTTTGTATTTCAATCGCTTTTAGGAAGTTGTAAATGGGTTCAGAGTCTTAGTAGATATGATTCTCCATTTCCCCCCACCCTCATGATGTACCTCAGAAGCCCCCCTCCCCATCTCCTCAGAGTGAGCAGGGTAACAGGTTGAACCCTGACACCGGCCCTTTGTTGTCGCCATGTCTCTCCGACTGAGTCACACCGACGCTCCACTGATCATCCTGTGTGCAGGAGGTAATCCAACACATAACAGCGCCATGGTTACGGAGAGGATGAAAACCTCTGCATTGTGGCAGCAGATCAATGGCTCACTGTCACCCCGGATTAGTCGCACTTTAAACAAGATATGACACAATTCCATTATCCTAAAACAAGCACTCGCAGACAGAGGAAGGTGCAGCGCTCACAGGAAGCACAACGCACTCTGTCTTTGTCAACATCTGAATTTTCTTTATCGACGTGAGCGGTGGAAAGTAACAAAGTACTTTTACTACAGTACTTTTACTTTGCTTGAGTATTTCCTGCTTCAATTTATAAGAGAATATTTCATTTATTTGAGTTGATTTCAGGTTCATAATATTAACACAAAAATGAAATCAACATGTGAATTATGAAGTACTATTATAGATTAATATACCTGTCAGGTAAATTAAAATATGTGATTTTAAAATGGGGCATTACACACAATGAGTCATGTTGGTACTTTAAGAATATACTATACTTTGTACTTTTACTTAAGTATGCTTTTGTATGCTGGACCTTTACTTGAAGCAGATTATTTAACACTGTAGTATTTCTACTTTTACTTAAGTAAAAAACTGACTACTTCTTCCACCTCTACCTAAAATACATTCATCTCAAAGAGAGAAGAGATGCCAGATATTAGCTAGTAGCATATTTCCATCTGCAGTCTTTATAATAATGCTTATACTTTTACCTATGTAACATTTTGCGTGCTAGTCTTTTACTTGTCACAGATTATTTTAACAATTTAGTGTTGCTATTTTGATTTATAATCCGAGTACTTCTTCCACCTCTGATTGACGTAAATCCACTTTGAGCGCGGTTTTCTTTAGAAAAGAAAGGTTATTCAATCCAGAGCCGTTTCTATGCAAGAGGAGAAAAGAGTCCGTTTTATTTAATAAACATCCTGTGACACGTAGTTATTAAACCACGTATCACACACATATTTCAGCTTAGGGAGTGCCCTCCTAAATCCATCACTATTTATTGTATTCTGACATCGCCTCACCCTTTGTTTATAGAAGAGAGGGGAATTAAATTCAGCTCTGCCTTCACAGAAAAGTCTCTAAGTGCACTCTGCCATGTTTTTACAAGTGTTTTTATCATGGCAACATCTTGTTTACTTTAGTTGCCTGCTCAAACTGCTTGGAACATGTTAAGAAAACATTTGGGGAGAGTCTCCACAAAGCTGCCTTTGTTTAACAGCAGGCGAGAGTGCGAGCGGCTCACCAAGGTGTTAACTCTCAAACCCTTAAGCACTTCCACATGAAAAACCAGCAACTGATACTGCGGGCCTCTGAGAAACACTGAGAAAATAAAAACAAAGAAATACATCAGGCATTAAAATGCTCTTAGAGTGTGTGTGTGTGTGTGTGTGTGTGTGTGTGTGTGTGTGTGTGTGTGTGTGTGTGTGTGTACTAGAGAAAGGTAAGGACTCTAACGTCAACCAGATTTCAGCTCCGCATGCCAACAGCAACAACTAACACGGGACTGAAATGTTGTTTTAAACTGTGTGTGTGTATTTGTTCTGTCTTTTGAAGAAAACATGACATACCTACGTGCAATATCTTGATAAATACAAAAAGCACTGAATCCCTGTTCCTGTTTTTCGTGGAACGGGGGGGAGTGGGGGGGGTTCGGTGCACAGAGGGGCGGGGTGCAGTTCATAGCAGAGGCTCGGGTGTTTTTTTACAGGGGTCAGGACCCCTTCTCCAGCGTCCAGTCAGAGGTCAGAGCCAGGGAAACACTGCAGTGCCCTCTAGTGCCAAACACTCTGCTGAAAGCACAGAAGCTCATCTAACACATTCCACACAGACGAATACATGAGAAGTGACTTATGCAGAATTTAAAATCGGATTCAGAAATACTTTATTTGTCCCACAGCGGGGACATTTGCATTGTTATACAGCAGAGGGACAGTGCAGGTAAAAAGGTGAAACTAACTTAAGAAAACATATTGGATAGAGACGTGTTCATAAAATACAAAAAATGCATTCATGGTAAAATGAAGTTAACATGTACAAATAATGAGGTAGCAGCCGGTAACATTAATACATTGTAAAATATAAAGGAATGGGAAAGTCTAATAGTTTCTTTAAAATACATGTGTATAATGTATATTGCTTGAAAATGGAAATGCAAATACAAAAATGGTCAAAAACATGTATTAGAATACATAGTTTAAAAAAAAGTCAGAAAATGATACACTTTACATTTTTGATAATAATTGTTGATAATAATAAGAAACAATGCTTTTTAAATATAAATACTACTGTAAAGATGGATGCAGTTAATTTAAAATGCCCTTAAACAGTGAGGAAGATAAACCGTCCTCAGAGACAGCTCGAAGCTCTGGGCCCATAATAAATCATTAGAAACTGTAAAAGCAAAAAAAAAGAATTGATAAGCAAACTAACTGATACGTAAAAAGCCCTCTGTTACATGAGCGTCTATTTAGCGAGTGGTATTGTTGCCATTCCCATCAGGGACTGTCATCCTGCCAGAGAGCTTTTAAAAAGGGGCTTCATTTGAAGTCCAGAAAGTGACACATGCCAACGTTCATAGCCTCTCTCCGCGTCAATTCCCCCCCCCCCTGAATCCCCTGCTCCCGTGTCCAGACACTCCTCTCAGGGCTGCATTAGGGCCATTTGAATATTTCATTTCCTATTAATTATGCACTGTGACTCTCCATGTCATTAGAAGAAATAAAGTGGAATGTAACAAAGGACGAAAAGGAGCGGGGGGGGGAAACGTCTCCTCTGAACGAGAAATTCCAAAGCTGCTCACGTAGGCCCTGCCTTCATCGAAAATTCACTCGGTGCCAGTTCAATTGAAGCTGAAAACGTCTTTACCTATTATTTTCTTCTTTGAAATGTAGTAAGATGTCCTGAGATGTTTACCGGTTTCATTTTCCCCGACCTACTTAATTAATTAATTTGACTCAAACAAAAGGAAAAGCCCCGCCTGAATTGATTTAAGCGAAAAAGGAGGGGTTTTTATTTTAAAATGCCTACTTTTTTAAATTTTGCCACAATAATGAACTTTCAAAGTGCTGAATGTATCGCAGCACAATAGGAGAACCTTAAAAAGAGGGGGTGGGGGGGGGGTGAGCACATTTCCCATAAAGATTTAAATCATTCCCTTCAAGGTTGGAAATACGACAAACCTTCACATTTCAAGCGCAGCCCTATCAATTCTCCCTTCCCGTGTGTCTGTTTTCTGACGCACAAATGTGTTGTCTGTACATAAAGCAAACGGCGTCGAATTTATAGGTCCATCATCGCGCCGCCTTCACAGGTTGACTCTGGCCATCTTTTGATTTGCAGTAAATGACGAGGAAAAAGTGCATTTGGAGAAGACGAGCGCACCTCTCCCCCTCCGCCGGCGCCACGCCTGGTGACAGTGACCTACATGGTCACCGAAGATGTGATATAATTTATGATATATATAATATATTGGATCCATTAGCGAGCATAATGAAGTAGTGAAATGAAAGGGTATTTGTGAAATCAGTTCAAACATCCTGCTCGGATTATGATTAAATGATTAATGAAATGCCCCTGCATAAGCATTTTCAAACAGTAATTCATGCGGCGGCTGATAAAATTCCTCCAATCATATTTCCTTCACTCGTGAACCTTATCTCCACCATTTTATATAAATCACAGGAAAAAAAAAAACCCTGTCTGCTACCCCAGCGAGCTACTTATTTAGATTAGTTATAGGAAAAGAGAACATCTCTCCCTGTATGAAATAATCACACATAATTATATCCATAATTCAAGTTGGTGACAGATCCCATCTCCTCGTCCTGTTGTCCTCTGCGTCCCGGCTACTGGGATTCTCTTAATTACACAATTAGCACAAAAATAGGTAAAAATCCAACAAGCCAAAAGAAAGGGGGGAATACAAATATATAGCATTAAAAAGCATTATGTATATCATGATATATAATCATATTAAGTGTCATCATATTATATCCTCCTGACTGCTTTTCTGTTTTTGTTTTGTTTTTGTTTGTGTTTTTGTTCTTGTTTTGTTTTGTTTGTCGACCTTACTCGTAATGTAAAGTGTCTTTGGGTCTAGAAAAGCGCTATATAAATCCCATTTATTATTATTATTATTATTAAGTTTTATTCCTGTGTGTTAAGAAGTGTTCTGGGTATGCTGAT